AAGTTACTTACAAAGCGGAAGAAAACCACAATTGTTAAAGCACAAATTCCTCCCAGGAGAATATGAAGACCGCTTCTAGCAGTTTTCTGCACACACAGCTAGAGTTCATCAGAAAATATAGGAAAGAAATGCATAGCATAACTTGATGTGTTAAAAAAATTGCCTCAATAGGCAAATATGAGGATGTTGATTGAAATCCCATGCTTTGATTCGACATGAAGACAAGAACTTAATCTTCACATGTCCAAAATGTGAATGACCTACGAAACACTTTATTATTAAAAATTTGGTAAAGGGTTGGCATGTTTATGTTGTCTGCTTTCAAAAATTAAGGTGAGTACATCTTTCGTCCTTTTATACAGAGTTTATAGGAAAGTTGTTTTTCTGAATTACATGGCAAGCAAGGGCCCTTCACTTCATTGGGTATGAGGATGTTTAGGAAGGTGAAGGACATGAGAGTAAGTTATCAATCTAATGTATACTTCAATGTTTGGATGGTTGGGTTTCTTTATACTTCTGTCTAGGGAAATATGTTATGAAGCTTGGGTGATGCGAGGGGATTTTAGGTGATCAGATTTCAGTAAAAAAGTTTGGGAATTTCGTGGAATTCAGCGCTCTGATGTATGTGCTGCTAGTGGGAGGTGATTACACAAGGTCCAATAATCAAGATTTACTGTCAATGTTAAGAGTGCATCCTTTATTTTCTATGGACCAGGAGACCTTCCCAGATGTTTCGATAAGCTTGCTTCCAACAACCATTTCAAATCATTGGCCACACTTGTTAGATTGTAGGGGCTTACGCAAGGGTCACAATTTAATTTGATTGAATATGTGAACTAACTCTTAAGGTTTTGTGGAGAGATCAGAGGTTTATAGAGGGGTTATATAATCTTGTGCTTTAACCATTTCTTTGTATTCGAAAACAAGCTTCAAGCTCTCAAAAGGACTTGAAATAGTGGAACATGCAGGTGTTAGGTGACAAGGAGGTGGTTGGACTTCTTAATCCAGATGATGGGTCATCGAAGGAGACGGAAAGGAAAATAGAACCAGAAAAGAAAAGATGGAGTGCATGGGGATTATAGCAAAGATCCATTTTTAGCATCAAAAGTAATGCATACTGTGGCAGAAGAAAAGTGATGGGAGTACTAAATCTTTCTCCTTCTGGTCCCTCACATGCAATTTGGAAGGTCAGTCAGCGCATGTTTGTGAAAAGTTTTGAATTTTACCAGCATGTAAAGATAAGTCAATAGACAAATAAATTAAGTTTCCCCACAAAACTTGCAGGATGTTGAAGAAATATTTTCCAATCTGTACGCTTTTTTTAATAAGCTGAATGACACCAATTTTGACATACCTTCCCAACACGAGGAGCTATAAGCCACGCAAGAGTAACAGTAAGCAGCCCTGTAGCAAGCAGAATCCCAGTACCTTCCACAGCCCACTTGGTTGCAGGATTTTCAGCAGGGGCAACAACAGTATTCGGAGGTTGTTCTGATACAGCTTGTGAAATTGCAACAGAATTGGTACTTGTATTGTTATTATTGTTACTATTATTATGTGGGCTAAACCATAGTGAAATCTCACTCAGTCGTTGCCTTCTGATAGCAGCTACAGCATCAGGATCTATACCTGTACTTGTATTAACCTGTGTGGCATCCGGTTCCCCCCTAGCAGTTCTTTCCCTCAATATTTCATACTCCTTCAAGGAAATCATAACCTTTTTGAAGTCTGAAATTCTGATATTTTTTGCAAGACGTCCACAGATTTCACAAACAGTGGACCCATGGTTGATAAACCATTTGAGTGCACACGCGTAGTGTACCAGAGCAAGGTCATTTTTGCAAGAGCAACCAAGCTCAACTAATGTGTCTTCATGGTGACATGAACCTGTCTCTAAATCAGCACCACAAATGAAAACCTCTCCATCGGGGCTTATAAACTCCAAAAAACCAGATTCTTTTCCAGCATTTTTCTTGACATACATATCACCTTCAGCATCTTTAAGGGCTACCCTGCTATCAGGCTTTACTTGCCCATGGCTTATACATGTTTCTTGTATAGGAGGAGTGATACCCAAAAACTCTAACGCTGCATCTCCCCTTTTGTCAGATTCAGCACATTGGCACACACGACAAGTTGATAAGCCAGCCTCATTGTCCAGACTATGGCGTGAATGAGTACCTAAAGAATCACTCTGTCCAGGTGAGTCACCTTCCTCACTAGCTCCGATGCTAGCTTCCGATAAGTTTTCCTTACCCATCAAGTCAGTTGGCTTTTAGTTCAAGAGTGCAGTTTGTGCTTTTGAGTTATTGCACCACTTTACTTTGGTATAGTTCCGACATCCAAGCTAATGAGGTCATTTAATCCATTGTGCAACTATACGAAACGTAAGACAAGAGCCCAATAGGAAAATGGCAGCTAATAAAGGCTTTTGTTCCAGCTGTAAAAGGAAGTTAACCCTCCAAGCATAATACAATGCCTTGGTGTCAGAGAAGAGGCTGGTAAAGACACCCGATGAAGACAAAAACGTCCAACTTCATATCTCATTCATTGTAGCTTCTGATGAGACTTTAAGCTAATTATTGCTCCGATGTAGAATCATTGTAGACCCTGTTATTGTTAGATCCACTGACCTGCAGAAAAAGCAGCACCATGAGAAAATAAAACAAAATAAAAGCATGCTACCATAATAACTGTAAATCCACTTAAATTTTCTTTGGTCGAAAAATCTACTTAATGGAGCATCAACTTAACGAGCACACACAAAATCAAAATCATAACATATAAGGAAAGAAAAAAAAAAAAAAAAAAAAAGTAAGTAACCAATAACACAATTTCAAATGTGCTTGTAAAAATGCGGACCATTCTAAAATAAAAATCATGTTAAGTTAATGCGCAGCAACTGACTCGCATATCATTTTACACTTTTATGAATTTCAAGTCAAAACTACCCTTTGGAAAACTTCAAAAACCCCAAAAGAACAAAAATCTGCATACAAATATTAAAATAGAGCAAGTTCATTTAAAAAATTAAAATGGACAGCTTTAAAATGAGTCTGTAAAATTTATAAAAATAAAAAAATAAAAAAATCAGCAGCACCTATGTTCCTTCTACTGTTCTATATCACCAGCCAACTCCCTCTCCACCCAATTTTCCTCCCCACAAATGGGTGAAGCTGAGAAAGGATCAGTACTAAAGGTAGAAGCTTAAGAGTCTTTGTATGCATCTTCTATAATTCTTTTTCTTTCTAGAAACTATTTCCATTCTTCTTATGCCTTTTCTCTTATGTAATGGTTTTTCGTTCTCCCATTCCATACTTCCAATTATTTTAGAGTATAGAAGAAGCCTGTCTAGATCCCAAAAACGAAATGAAGCACCAGTTAATAGATTTAAAAAGGCATCAAGGTAATAGATTTAGCATTTCATCAAACACCTGATATTCAGTTTAAATGTTGTGAACTGGCACAACAGATCTCCTTGTATAGCCACAATAGTGGGCTTCATCAATTAGGAATTTGAATCATAATGGAATCTGAATACCATGTTTATAAAACCTTCTTTGATTGGGAAAGCAAATCCAATTCAGAATAGGATTCATATCCTCCAAGACTATTAGTTCTTTTTTTTTTTTTAAAAGAAAAAAGAAACAAAATTGTATCGCATATAACAATAAAATACAGAGCTGGTCAAGATGACCACAAAAAGAAGGCATAAGCTTAGGAAACTCATGATGGACTGGAAAACCCAACACTGTTATAGTTGTAAGGTGATCAATTTCTTAACTAGATACCATACCTCAATTTATTATATAAGATCCACATTTTCAACAAGGAGAGAGGAAAACTACAAAACAATGGACGAGACATCCACCAAGTAAAGAACTAGAGAACTCTGAAACAGAACCAACAACAGCTGCACTACAAATTGAAAAAATTGCAAAAAGGAATTATCCTTAAAGGTTTTATGCTAAGTAAGTGCACTATGAAAAGTGAGCTTAGGAAAACTACAAAAAAATGGACAAGATATCCACTGAGTAAAGAACTAGGGCACTCAGAAACAGAACCAACAACATTCAAAACAACATAGAACCAGCCAGAGCACTCAGTAAGTGCACTATGAAAAGTCAGCTTAGAAGAAGCAGAAAGGAAAAGAATGATATACGAAAATAGGCAATAAATAGAACAGATAAACAAAGGGAAGTGCTGATTTATGAAGAAACCACCTTTTTGTCAGAAAATCCACAGCTTTGTCACAATTTGAGTTAAACAAGTTAATACATAGTTTTCCCCTTCATCCTCCAAACAAATTCATAACCCAACATACCAACCCAAATCCCTCACTCAGAAATTAGCACAACCAGAAGATCCATTAAATCTCACAATCTATTAAAAATCATACCCATATTATCAGAAATTCGAAACCTACGAACAGAACAGCACAAGACTACAACTATGTATAAGTCGCAAAAATAATCATGTATAGAAATCAATAAGCAAAAATGATGAAACGATACTTACATTGCCATAAGTGTGAAAGAAAAGATTGCCTCTTTCAATTTTGTTATTCTGCTGCCACATTACACTGAAGAAGCAGAACACAGAAATTAGTGCATATACATATGTGCGTTCGTGTGTGCTTGCGTTCAAGTCTTGAAGAAGAGCAAGAGAGAGCGAAAAAGGAGCTGAATTTAGGTGTACCAGAAGCGACTGATGAAGTAGTAGCTGAGTTGCGAAGATTGAGAAGGAACAGTGAGAAGAGGAGAGAAAAGGGGCAAGGATTTGGGATTGAGAAAACGAAATGCGAGAGTAAAAGGTAGGAAGATGCAGCCGTCGGCGAAGTGAGGTGAGGAAGAAGAAGCCGTCGGAAAAAGGTGAGGTAAGAGAGATGAGATCGTAGGAGATGGAGGGAGAGGCAGGTACTAGATACGTTTGGTGAAGTCCCTTGTGTCATGTTATTAGTGTATTTATTCAGTATCCACATGTCATAATTCTCCAAATTAAATATAAAAAATTGTTGAAAAAACCACCCAAAAACTTACCCCCAGTAGAGTAAGGTTCCACCAAGCCCGACCCGACCCGACAGTGCACTATCTTGCAGGTTGCAGCAGCAGCCGCTCCATTTCCAGGGTCCAGGGTTCAGCCTCCTCTCTTCTGTTTCTTCTTGTTTCTCCGTCAATAGTCTCCATACTCGACGGGACCTGGTGAGCTCCTAGGCTTCTCGTGTTGTCATTTAATTTCTGATTTTGTTCCTAACTTCATATTTAAGGATTCAGCTAACCTAGAATTTAGGGATTTCGGGATTCACAAAATTTGATTTGATAACACTCTTGTGTTGTTCACTGATCAGAAAACGAGTTTATGTTAACACATTGTATTTTGGGATATTGTAGGCTTGGCTTGGGTTTCTCGTGGGAAGTCATTATGTGTGATGATGAAAATGATGGTTTGTGGATTATCGACAAAGCTGTTGAACATATGCATAGCTTCATTTTGTAAAGTCCGGCTATTGGAGAAAGCAGAAGCCATTGTAATTGACGGTATAAGATTGGGGGTGATTCCAGATGTGGTAACTTACAATACTTTGGTTAGTGCATATTCTCGGTTTGTTAGCTTAGATGCAGCTTATTCTGTTATTCATAGAATGAAAGAAGCTGGGATAAGTCCAAATGTCATTACTTACAATTCTTTGATGTCCGGGGCGACCTGGAATTGCTTATTGTCACGATCCCTGGATTTGTTTGAGGAAATGTTACTAGCAGGTATACATCCTAATTTATGGAGCTACAACATTCTGATGCATTGTTTCTTTAAATTAGGAAAACCTGATGAAGCCAACAGAGTATTTCAGGATATTTTACTTAGCAATCTTACTCCCCACCCATCTACGCTTAACATAATGATTAATGGCCTTTGTATCAATGGATACATCGATAATGCCCTTATGTTATATAGGAATTTGCGACGCCATGGATTTGTTCCCCAATTGGTGACATACAATATTCTTATCAACGGGTTATGCAAGGCACGCAAATTGAGACAAGCAAGGAGAATTCTTAAGGAACTTGGGGAATCAGGTCATGAGCCAAATCTCATAACCTACACTACAGTTATGAAATACTGCTTTAGGTCCAACAAGTATGACAAAGGGCTTGAGATTATGTCAGTTATGATGGGTAAAGGGTATACTTTTGATGGCTATGCATACTGCACAGTCGTTGCTGCTTTGGTTAAGACTGGGAGGATAGAAGAGGCAAATGCTTGCATGGAACAGACAATAAGGAACGGCATTGAACTTGATTTAGTATCTTACAACACCTTACTCAATATGTATTGTAGAGAAGGTAAGTTTGAAGCTGCCTATAAGCTGTTGGATGAAATGGAGAATGGAGGTCTGCTGTGTGACAAGTATACCCACACAATTATAATTGATGGATTGTGTAAGGCCGGTAATATTAGTGGGGCTCAAAAACATTTACATTATATGAAAATGATGGGCTTCCATGAAAACTTGGTTGCCCTCAACTGCATGATTGATGGCTTATGTAAAGCTGGTCAAATCGATCGTGCAATGGAATTGTACAAATCAATGGAGACTAAAGATTCATTTACCTACACCTCCTTGGTGCACAATCTTTGCAAGGCTGGAAGGTTTCGATTGGCATCCAAGCTTATGATGAAATGTTTAAGACATGGGAAGAAAATACCCAAGGCTACCCAACGGGCTGTCTTTGATGGTCTTTATAGTTCAGGGTTTACAGACGAAGCAAGGAAGCTTTGGTGGAAAATTCGAGTGGCTCGAATATTGCATTAGAAACCGGCTATGCTTTTGGTGCTGAAAATGACATAACCTAGAGAACTATCCTAGTTGGATTGGCATTTTGGTCAGCACCATGAAAGAGGCCCCCTTTAGCCATATTATGTAAACACAGTGTTTTTGGGCTGTTGAGCCTGCTCTACCAAGCAGAGATTATTAATATTGAAGTGTAATGTTGAATCTGAATGAAAGTTGACTAACTAGCTTGCAACTGCCTTGCATTGCTAGACTAAAAGTGGTTCTGCCTGTGTGTATGATGGGAAGACACTACTTGTAGTAAACAAACAACTTGCCATATTCATGTATGACTGGACAAGTCCAGAAACATTTTCTCAAAGTCAACTGTCAGCCACACTGGTTTCCTCGGTTGATGGGCTCAATGTGAGTTTCTGTTCTTATTCCAACTGATTTAATAGATTTCCCTTTTTCTGTTTTGTGATAGTGTTAATGTATTTTCTTTGTGTCGTTAAACGAACTGATGCTCTTGGAATGTTACTGAAAGAACATCTGTATTATTTTTTTCTCTTTGTCTTTTTCATATTTTGGAAACGAATTTTGAAATCTATCTGTTACTTTTCGCAGGGTAACTGGTTAGCATTATTAAGAACAGTTTGGATAAAACTCTGGACAACTACTCCTGAGAGGTAAACTTGTGTACTGCAGCCTACTTTTCATGTGAGTATTTTGACATGAAATTTGGATAAATTGGTTTCTCAAATACATTCATGGTTGCACGAGATAGAATGATAGAGATTTCATCACCCAAAAGGGAAAAAGGACGGTTAACTTTACTTCCTAAAAGTTAAGGATTGCAAACTTGTGCATTTTCTATTGTAAAAACAAGTCCGAGGAAATCCATGATTCTCTTTGCTATTTGTTGTTCTTTTCCTTAACTTAATACTGGAATGATGTTTTGGCAATTCTTTTGGGGCAAGATCTGAGAGATAATATTTTCAAATAATATTCTTTGAAAGAAAAGTATATCCAAAATTTTACCAAAAAAACGTTCATCGGTTACTTTATTTATATATGTCTTCCTATATCTTTTCTCTCTACCAGACTATCTTTTGTCAACTTATTCAACTGTGTTGATAGAGAAGTGTTAAATTCAAATAGTTGATGTTGTTCTTGTCATTTAAAAGAAGTTTATGTTTGATGGGTTTCTGTTATTGTGTATTTGTGTGCGTGCACGCTTATACACTGCAAAAAGAGAAGGGCTGACTATATAACTAGTTTTCAAACAGATTGAAGCTGAGATGCGCAGATGCTAAGATAGAAGTTGGATAATGGTCACGGAGATTCAGATGTTAAGTTCAGAGGTTCAAACTACATGTGTTATTATCCAGATCCAGTTGTCCAAACCAAAAATGGTCACAGGGTAGGTAGAAAGAGAAAAAATAAAAAATAAAAAATAAAAAAGAGATGGAAATATGGATTGCTGTTTAGCAGAAAAAGCGGGGTGTCTTTCTGTGTTATTCGTGATGTTTTTAGGTCGTCCGGTCGATTTATTTATTTATTTCATCATTAAAGTAAAAAGGTTTTTTGCAAGCTGCATTGGATGTTATCCCGATAACAATTATTGATGAAAAAAACTAAACCTTGAATGAAAATGCAAGAGAGGAGGGATTAGTATGACACTTCTCTTTATAATGCCTAGTACGAGACTTGTCTTTATATAGCAGAGTAAGGATTAGGATTCTTCGACATCGGATGAGATTAGAGTGAGTCGTAAAGCATACTGTCAATTAGGAGCTGACTTGGACTTCTAGTAGCTCAGGCTTCTGTAGAGTCTATTCTATAATTCTGAAGTTGGAACTTGCTCATCTTGTTGTTTACCGTTCTGCTGCTGATGTTGGTTAGCTGGGCATCAAGCATCTCTAATTGAAGATTCAATTTGCTGATATGGATCGTGTTTCAACCAGAACCCCGTCTACAGCCAAATAGTTTCCTCAGGATTGAATTTAATTCTTTATTGGAATATGAACCCTCATTTGAAATTCAGCTGTCATATAGCGATCAGTTAGCGTACAGACTACCTAGTTTGTAGTCTGTATCGCTAGCTGATCCATTTTTCCTTTTGTTTTTTATTTTTTGTCCGTTTAATAAGAGATTGATTTGTATTTGAAATGAAAAACATTTTTTTCTCAGGTGTGACCTATTAGTTTCCAATATGGTCAGTGAAAGGTATCATATGCATTAACATTTATTTACTTCATACGATCGAAAAGGAAAATCAAATTCATATCAAATTCTTAGAGTTTACATAATTAAATAGATACTTAGCTCAAATGGTTAAATCTTGTTACAGAAAGAACTTACAAGCGTCTTCAAGCAGTCCCAATGAAATAATCAGATTAGAAAGAAGAAAAAAAAACTTAGAATCACGAATGAACTAAACAGATTAGAGACCTTTGTGCTGAAAACAAACCTCACGTTGGCTAACAGTCATGAGACAACCTGTTATGAGCTGCAGGATCTAGATTTCAACTGAGACAACCAGATTCCTAGCATGTAAGCTTCTGTGCAATACATCAAGCATAGTAGTTCCAGAAAGATTCATTCACAAGAAGAGCAGGAGGTGGTTGTCCATAACAATCTCACAAGGAGCCGTTTTGGTAAAAGAATGATAGGAAGTGTTGTAGCTCCATTCAGCCTAAGGCGACGGGCTGAAAACTACAGAACTTCTCAAATAGGTTTTCATGCATCTATTAACCACTTCAGTTTGCCCATCCGTTTGTGGATCGTATCCGGAACTCATACACAACTTAGAACCCTGTAAAGCAAAAAATTTCATCCAAAAATCACTGATGAAAACAGGATCACGAACGATCACTAATGATTGTAGAACAAGGCATTCCATGCGACTTGAATACTTGCTCAACAAGCAAGTGAGCCACTGAGGAGAAACCAAGGGGGCCAAAGTCTCAATATTTGTGCTGCTGTCAAGTGGGACATTCTACTGCCATAGTTATGATATCCATTTTTCTTTTTTTTCCATTCCAGGCCACTGAAAGGACTTTAGACAGTTTTATAGGTCTAGAGAACACCAACTTGACGATGAGCAGGTGAACTATGATGCTCGTGAAAAACTCTAAGGGCCTGTTTGGATGAGGAATTTGGGCATAGAATTTTGGCTTCCATGGGATTTATAAATCCACGAATTGGGATGTGGAAGAGGGATTTGTAAAGCCCAAATTCCATTCTAAAATAATGCCTAAACAGGCGTTACTTCGAAATTTTCACGCTCGAATGCGAACACGACCCCAATGCCGACGAACGCCGATGACACGAATGGTACAAATTCTCATCTCTTTCCGCTTCTCTGCTCTATCACTCCCACTCCCAACGCCGACAACATGGAACCACAACCAACGCCAACGACCAACGCCGACCACCAACCTTAAAATCCCATCACTTAGAAGTCCCTCACCTTAAAATCTGATCCTTTTGAAATCCCATCACTTCAAAATCTCATTCTCTTGAAATCCCATCACTTCAAAATCTAAGTCTCCAACTACTAGAAGGACTCAGGACAATCCTACTCTTGTGCTTCAAGAAACTATTATCACTGTGGAATTGAAGTTGTTAGTTATTCTTGTAAGGGAACATTTCCTTCATCTATTATGTCATTCTTATAGAAGCGCTGACTCAAGGGACTTTATTTGAGCCTTTACCCATGCACCCGAGATCTTAGGTTTAATTCCCTCCTCCTCCGATATCCCTTGAGTCAATCGATGCCTGCGTAAGTGCTATGTTCTCCTTTGATGGGTCAAAATGCCTTTGCGGCCCAAATTCATTTTCTTTCCCAAAAAAAACGTCAATCTAAACCCAATTCGTGATACTTTGGATAAAACCCATGACGTGCCCGATTTGTAAAATGACGCTCCAATAGTTTGGATGAAGGATGTTGAAAAAGTAATGCATAGTTGTGTAGATGTAACTGAAGAATTTTAGAAAGAGCTTATAATAAAGAAGTTCCACGGTGGTCGGACAATGTCGGTTAGACAAATATCCACAAACATAATTGAAGATTGTGTGAAAGATTCTAGAGCAAGCCAACACATGTGGCTGAGAATATTGGAGAGATTGTCCAAGTTGGCAAACAATGTCTATAAATAGGCATGTGTTATAAAATAGGCAAAGTATGAACGTACGCTAAATATTAGGGTGGGATTGTATTTGCTTTTATGGACACTGATATAATTTCTCTCTCGGATATAGCTTTCTAACTCTCGGATATAGCTTTTCAGCACTTCATGGATGTGACGGCAAAGAAAGATCATGGTCTTTGCGTTTTCTTATGAGGATTCATCACTTCCATCCATAATAGTTTTTCCAAGGCTATTGGCCTGTAGGTGGATCTTGGCATTTAGGACCCATGATAGATAGTTGTTCCTAGATATGTCCAAAGTAGCAAATTCTAGCTTTGCTAAGTTTGCCATCTTCAAAAGAAAATGAGATGTATAAGAATTTGCAATAATATGTTTGCACTTTATTAGAACTTCAGGTTCTCAACAAGATTTTATTTTTGAACTTCAAGCAAAAAATATTTTGCATATTTACCTGAAACTTCAGGTTCAAAATCTAGGACATTAAGCCATTTCTTAATAGGAACTTCAGGCCCCCATTGTTCATGTATATTAACTGATGATTTCTTTCATAAAAATAAAGTAAGGTAAAATAACAAAATTAAATGGCATATTAATTAAATATTATATATTGGGTTTACCACATGTTACCACATCACACACTGGTATTTACATATGCTTAATTGCATCGTCCAAGTTGTGTATATCATTTATATATCCAGTATAGAATAAGTTATCATATTTTGGCCAATATAACTGCGCCACTATTCAAGATAAAATAAGATGAGTTTTTAAATCACACCACTATTTTTATTACAATAATATATGTTACAACGTGATGGGATATGAAACTACACCACCATAAAATAATAAGATGGGGGATAAAACTACTCCATTCCAAATTACAGTACGAAAAAATAAATTAAACAAACATGAATGAAACAACATAAAAATTGTGAGAATACAGAAAAGAAAGTTTGCAAGTCCTCATAGTAGTAAAGTGAGAGTAGACATATGACAGAGAGGAGACAGAGAAATAGCCATATAGTGTTTAGCTATGGAAAAATTTAAAGGTAAAGAAAAGAGACTATCGTGCTAATAACATGTTATAAAATAGGCATAGTATGAAAGTACCACTGAATATTGGGGTGGGATTGTATTTGCTCTTGTGATATTACACTGATAGAATTTTCTCTCTTGAATAAAGCTTTCTAACTCTCGAATTTCTCTCTCACTTTTCTCTCCAGATTGGTGTGTATCAAAGCCTGATGATTGCCTCTATTTATAGGCAGATGGTATATGCTTCACAACCAGAATATTCACTCTACAAATTACAACCACAACAATTGCTTCTTACTGTTTGTAAAAAGTGATTAAGCCTATAAGTCTTCAACTTTCTATAAACATGGTATTTCATTTCCAACTTTGTTCCTCACTTTCAACCTATGGTCATCCATCATTTACAACAGCATGAATGTACACATATAAGGTGGAGTTTACAAATAGAACTCCCAATCTATATGGGAGGTAAGAGCTACCCAGAACCAAACTATGTTATGGAAACTTTGACTAAGAGCTAAGAGTTAACAAATAGAACTCCCTAGCACTTCCTCTCCTCAGTTGAAAACTTTGACTTCAAAGTCACGTGGGCTTTTTGAGAGAAAAAGATCTTCCCCAAAAAATAGTCTGCTGATCTGAACTCCGGAATTCATTTTTCCATGTAATTTCTGTCATTTACAAAATTCGACATACATAAATTCAAACACTTAAAATTATTAATTGACATAAATTTAAAAGATCTAAATTCCATCATTTTAGAATTCTATGCAATTTTCAATTTCTTCATAGACACTTTGATTTAGACGTTATAATTGGCAACGTAACCAGTGGTTTTGTTTTTCAACCAAAAAACCAGTAGTTCTATTTTGTATTTTTTACAAAGAAAAAGTAAGCCACGGCTTAAAATCCAACCAAACTAATGTCGCATTTTTTTTTTTTGGGTCAAACTAATGTCACATTTACTATGGATGCAATTTGGCATCCATCCAATATACCTTTTTTAAGTTTGAAGAAAGGTCAGACGACGCACCTAGTCGACAGAGCACAAATAAAATTCAATGGGTTTCTTTGGTACTATGTGTTAAAAACGCTGCTCCCAGAATTGGACGAAACCCACCAATCATTGATGCGACACGTGGTTTATAAACCCACCAGAACTCTCTCTAATCTTTTTAAAACTGTATGCATATGCAGGTATATAAATAGGACATTTCACTTCCCTACCTCCAACCCCTTCTTCTTCTATAATCTCCTTGAGACATGGAATTTGAATATTGGCAGCAACCCATGTTGAGCAAGACCCTTAAAATTCAATCCTCCTCTTCGTATGAGGATTGCAAGCGTTCTGAAATATCATTCAGAGGTACACTGGAGGAGGTGGAGGAGGAGGAGGCCATACCAAAGACCGAGTCCGAGGAGCTAAGGCTGTCTTGGCTCCGATCTCAAGTCATTGGCGCAGCTGCGGAATTCAATTCTCCGTTTGGGAAACGAAGACTCACTTATGCCGATCACACTGCCTCCGGACGCTCTCTTCTCTACATCGAAAACTTCATCCTCAACAATGTCCTCCCCTTTTACGGTATACTCTTCTTTCTTTTTTTCTTTTTGGATTCCAATATTGGCTAATATATTGCTAAACGCGTGTTTGAAATGATCTCAACTCAACTTAATTAATTATTCAATGTTACATTTTACGTGATTTCACTTAGCGGGAAGAAAGTAGGCTACTTAGTTAGGCTGCCGATCAATCTGTTATGTGCAGAACCGCTCGCCTAACCTAATTACAACTCATTTTATTGGTTTTAAATTCAATTTATATTTGTTTCTTACAGGGAACACTCACACGTGTGACAGCTACGTTGGAAACCGGACTTCAAAAATGGTGCATGAGGCAGCAAAGTACATCAAAAAATGCTTAGGGGGTGGACCAGAAGAGGCACTCTTGTTCTGCGGCCAAGGCACCACCTCAGCCATTAAAAGGCTCCAAGAGGTGATGGGCATTGCTGTGCCCTCAATCTTGAGAGACAGAGTTATAAATAATCTGAACACAGAAGAAAGGTGGCTGGTTTTTGTTGGGCCCTACGAGCACCACTCGAACCTCCTCTCATGGCGGCAAAGCTTGGCTGAAGTTGTTGACATTGGTGTAAATGATGATGGCTTGCTGGACTTGGAGGCTCTTAGACTGCAACTAGAGAAATATAAATATGCCAACAGGCCAATTCTGGGTTCCTTCTCAGCTTGCAGCAATGTCACTGGGATTTACTCTGATACAAGAGCCATTGCTCGACTTATTCATCAATATGGGGGCTTTGCCTGCTTTGATTTTGCAGCAAGGTGTGTACTACTTTCAATTTTTTATTTCTTTCTTCGTTTCTTTATATATAGAAAGAAGAAAGCGCTGAAGTTCGAAAACACAACCTCAATTTAGAATAGTGGCTCTTAACCACTTGAATTAAAGTAAGTAGTAGTCTAGAACAATATATTTAGGCTAAAAGTCACTTTTGATCCCTGTAGTTTGTCACTTCAACCATTGTTGACCCTAAAGTTTCAATTCCGTCAATTTTGACCCTATAGTTTCATATTTGTAGCAATTCAAGGACAAGTTAGTATTCCTGTCAATTTCTTTGACGGTGCAAGGGGCAATTTCGTCAACCCAAAATCCTTGAGCATAAAAGCTCGTTTAAAACTCCCCTAATTTCATATTAGGGCTTGAAATTGGTCATTTGGGTTTAGGGTTCTTCAAAATTTGGGATTAGTGGTTGAATTTTAAGCCCTAATATGAAATGGAGACAATTTCAAACGAGCTTTTACGCTCAAAGGTTTTGGGTTGACGAAATTGCCTCTTGCATCGTTAAAGAAATTGACAAGAATACTAACATGTCCTTGAATTGCTACGAATACGAAACTACAATGGCAAAATTAACAAAACTGGAACAACAGGGATCAAAAATGACTTTTGGCCATATATTTATTTAGAATTTTGCTCAAGTCAATCATTAATATATTGTGAATGAACAATTAAGAATGATCTAAGTCAATCATTAATATATTGTGAATGAACAATTAAGAATGATCTACGTATGCATAATGCATAGGTGCCAAAATTAATTGTCAATATAATGTGGCGCTCATATGAATTTAATGGTCAAGAATAAGTGCGTCAACGGCCGACCATGGCATATCTGATTTAGGTATGTGCATGACTACCGCCGCCGGAATTTTTTATTAATTAGTTAGGCTATACGTAGCTGTCTTTGATTGCGTACTCTGCATGGTTAGTTGTTGTAGACGCACCTTGAATTAAATTGAATTGAATTTTTAAATCTTTATTGTTGTATAAATGAATAAATACAGTGGGCCATATGTGGAAATTGAGATGAGGTGTGGAGAGATGGATGGCTACGATGGTGTTTTCCTGAGCCCACACAAGTTTCTTGGTGGGCCAGGAAGCCCAGGCATCCTAATGATCAGCAAGGCTCTGTATCAGCTCAGATCTTTCCCTCCATCAACTTGTGGAGGTGGAACTGTTGCTTATGTCAATGGCTTCAGCGATGAGGTAGGCCTTCCAACCTTTTGGTGTTTTGTTCATCACCATGAATTGTCCTGATTGTTGGTATGAGTCTTCTTCAATGTGGGTTGCCAACCAAAATTCTAAATACCTTTTTAATAAAACTATAATTATTATTATTATAATGTTTCAAAGTAAATAAATGAGCTACAAATATTTGAAACATCAACCGCCCTTCTCTCCTCCCTACCCCAACCAACCACCGTCCCTCCCCAGCAGCCGGCCACCCGACTATATCGATATGATCATCCCCCTTCCCTAGATCTTCCCCATGCCTCTAATTGGATATCCTATGTTCTGTATATTTATCATATTTGGATGAATCGAACTGGACTGAATTATTTCAATTAAATTAATGAGATTAAACTTATTAAATTGGATAACTGTCTAAAATCTATGTTCCTTCTTAAGCTTGACATTGGCTACCCAACCCAATACACCAAGATATGTTCCTTCATTCATGACACAAACCAGCTAACATCTATGTCGGTACGATCAAATCCTTACCGGTCAACAAACCCAAGTGAAACACTTCACGAAACAAATATGAATTCATAGATAAGGAAGAAATTAGTGAGCTGCTTTATTATTGTTTAGCATGTGAATATTAATTATGTCATTGTCACGTAAGAGAAAGGAACTCTAGAACAGTATATAATAGATGGTGATAGCAAACAGAAATCTTAATTAATTTTGTAATAATATGTGATCAATGCAGGACACTGTGTATTGGGAGGACATAGAAGAAAGAGAGAATGGTGGCACTCCTCAAATAATTCAGACAATTAGAGCAGCACTGGCTTTTTGGGTGAAGGAATACATCGGTTATCAAGTGATAGAAAAACATGAGGATTTCTATGTCAAAAGGGCACTAGAGAGGCTTCTTCCAAATAAAAACATATGGGTTTTAGGAAAAACAAGTGCCAAGAGACAAGCTATTTTCTCTTTCCTCATTTATTCCACCACCAATCGTCCGTCAACAGCTGGCACGAAAATAGAAGGTGGTGGAGAGGGTCCAAAGGAAGCGCTTGACATGTGGAGGGAGACAGGAAATGGCAAAGGTAAGCCCCTTCATGGGGCATTTGTTGCAGCTCTGCTCAATGATCTATTTGGTATTCAATCTAGAGGTGGGTGTGCTTGCGCTGGACCTTATGGTCACACTCTGCTCAAAATTGATGACACTCTTTCACATTTCTATAGATCTGCCATTCTAAAGGTTCTAATCCCATTCATCTTTTTCCTTTCATACCACACTATATTATGAAAACAATCAATGTTGAACGCTTTGGGTAATGTTCTGTTGGCAAACTTGTGTTGATAGACTCTGAATTTATTTATTGGTCAAAATAAATACAGATGAAATTCACAGTTTGGCAACGTAAGACAGTCTGACAAGAGAACATTTTCATTCTATGTTCAATGTTTAACACATGGCAAAACAATAAACGCATGTATTCTAAATTCCTTTTTAAGTGCAGGGCTATCTCGGATTGAAACCTGGATGGACCAGAATCAGCTTTCCCTACTACATTTCAAACGATGAATTCGAGTTCATTTTAACTGCGTTGGAGTTTATAGCTATTTATGGACAACGGTTCCTTCCCCTGTATCACTTCAATTTGAGAAGTGGAAGCTGGACTTCCAAGAAGAAGGCACATCAAGACCTACTTGACAATGCTATACAGGGAATGAACATTGGCCATGACCAATCTAAAGATGGCAACAATGCAGAGAAGCATGATCAATCCGCCAAATTTTATGATTATTTGGAAACCGCTAAGCGCATAGCAAATCTCTTGCCCAAGTTTCCTCCTCAGCGTAGGCTTCCAGAAGACGTAGACATCAACTTCTTACACTTCAGAGTCTAACTCCAATTCTTTTTAAAATGTAGAATATCTTTCTAATATGTGAGTTGAACAATTTCTCTTGTATGCATGAAAAAAATGAGCACGCATAAGCATAGATGGATTGCTAAGATTTTAAATAAAAACAATGGTGGCATAACTTGTTGAGCCCTCACCTCTTTGTTTTGTGAATCCTTGAGAGATGCTGCGAATGCTGAGGTTTACAACATCAACTAAAAAAAAATTTCATTCAAATAACCCCCTCACCCATTCACAATTTACATTTACAAATGGTGAGTTGTACAAAAAAACATAAAACAAATTTCATTCACTGAACCCTCCCTCAGCCATTCACAGCTTACATTTACAAATGGCCAGCAAAATTTTATAAAACTCATCATAGATTTTCAAATGGTTCTAGAAAAACAAAATAAGTACCTTTGTCGAGACATCATATCTTTGAAGGAACAATCGGTGATCCATTTTGGAGACCCATCATCGTAGAGTGCTAGAGTTAAGCTTCCATCAATGTTCCTAGAGAGAGAGAGAGAGAGTTAGATAACCAAAGGAGATAGATATGAAAACTTAGCTAATTGAGTGCAGAAAATCATGGAATTTTTCAAATGGGTTTACTGGCCTTTTTCCTTAACAGTTCCAATGTATTTTCCTTTTCATACGGTTTTAGATTTTTAAGCTGTAAACTTATTGCAACCGGTGGATTGAATCTTATGGCTGCAGTTGGCTCAACACCCACAGACATCAGGTAAACAGGCCTGTCTTTTTCTTTCTCTTAGATTTTCCTCTTTTTACTTTTGTGCATAGCAAGCCTTGGAAATAAGTTCCCTATTTGCACATACTCAAGAATTCATCTCAAAGACGCAAGTAAACACTGAAAACGTCTAAACTCACATCCTAGGTAGTGACGAGGGACAGAAAAAGGATTAGGATTAGAACAGGTTATGAGTTTCCTCCTATTAGAATGGGACAAGAAAAGGGAATAGACAAAGCAGAGAAAGAAAAACAATCAGTTCTCTAAGACATTAGTCAATACAGGGTGAAGACAATAATGAATGCTAAACCAGCCAGTGCTTTTAAATAGTTTGAAAAATAACATAAAAATCTATTTAGACTTGATCGTACTATAAATAATTAATATACAAATGATATTTCAAATTTCAGAGAAAAGGGAAGAGTAAATTACAAGAAAACCCCTTCAGCTTTAGCCCTTGTTTCAATTTAGTCCCTGAACTTTTAATTTAAGCATTGTCATCCTTAAACAATGAACTAGTGGCCAATGAATAACTATGTTACTAACATCCATTAGCTTGCCATCCAAATACATCACACATGAAAAATTTTAAACCACTGTTTGGATGCTTGGATAAGTCACCCATGGGGATGTCAATGTCAAAGACCCCTCCCACCCACCCCTTAAAGTGTAAGTTAGAAGCCACCTTCTTTTCTGCATTAGGAAATTCCACTGCCTCAAAGGTCTCTTTCTTCCTCTCTCCATCAGAACCAGAGATATCATGAGGAAGGACCCTTGCACAAACACTATCTATGATGAGAGAGAGTGAGAGCCTTGACATTTAAAGTTTCATGGTAAGTTATACAATGGTTTCAAAATTTCTCATGTGTGATGCGTTTGGAATGAGAAATTAATGGATGTTAGTCACATGACGGCTGATATGAAACTAGTTTATAGTTTAAGGATGACATTAGTTAAGTTAAAAGTTGAGGGACTTACTGATACACAAGCCAAAGTTGAGGGAATTATGTGTAAATTACTGAAAACGAGAAATGAAAGGCTTGGTTTGCTCTATCCTTTCCACCATCACCCTTCATATCCAATAAAATAACAAGGGAAACGATTTTCACACTCCCCTTTTCTCCCCACGCGCTCCTCCTTTTTTCTAGCCTTAAAACTGAATAAATCAAATGATAATCAAGGGGAAAAAACAAGGTGCAGAAGGAGAAAATGGGAGTGTGAAAATCACTACCCAATACCAAACCTTGTATTAAATTATTACAATTAAAACGCAAACCATCCTTCCTAAATCAAAGACAGGGAAAAAAAAAAGACACTAGCATGAAATACACCAATATTCTTTTCTTCGCAAGATTGTAAATCCAAATACAGCAGACACATATATACAAAGGCATACACACCCAATAAAAAAGGGAACATAAACAGAAGAGAATTCATAATATGCAGACCAGGCTACACAGAATATAAAAGGAAATTAGTAACCTTATTGCAAAATCCTTAATACAAAATAGCAGGAATGACAGCCTGACTCAAAACAAACTCCATTCTGTTCCACATCTTCAAAGAGACATCAAAGCAACGACCCCAAGTACTGATATTTCCCGACTTCATCCATGCTATTAGTTTTAGTAACCCAAAATACATAATGAGGAAGAACAGTGGAAGATACCTATGATTTAACAAATATCAATTGGGACAGGTAGATTTAAAGAAAAAGTTCATTTTCTCTGGAAATTGTAACTAGATGTGTCCGTAATAGGGAGTGCTCAAATAGGAAAATATCAAACTGTGTTTGCAAATGCCAGATAAGGACTTTGGAGACTTAGCCTAACACAGATGCATTAGTAAGAGTGCCAAATTGACATGCATAGTTTTGATCTCAATTAAGTCTTTGTGGCTAAAGTTCCACAGTACTTGCAAAGGTGCACTGCAAAAATGAAGCTCATACATCATAGCAAAGACCATCTCTTAGTTTTAAGGTTCACAATAGATTCAGAATATCCTGAACAATGTACACTCTGTCAACATAAGCATCTTAGTTGTCAGTCAGCCAGGCAAGACAACAGTACCCTATATCATCTATACTTCGTATGTAAAATTGAAGGATAATTTCAAGTTCACATGATGTTAGAGTTGACATGGAAGATAATTAGAGAAAATTTCACTCTAATTTCTCTGTTAAATCTTCCCTGCTGGCACTTACTTTGGAACACATCAAGTTGCAACATTTTATTGAATGTATTAACATTTCAATACACTATGTCCATTTTCCGTATATTAAAAATAAATAAAATATGTGACACATACCTTAAGCATCCTTCAGGAGGTCATAATTGACATTCCTTGGAAACTGTTTTGGAGTTGAAAATATACAAACTACAATCATGTATAACAAATAAGCATACACAGGGTGAAAAGATTTTCGTTTCTATTGGCCTTAAGGATTCTCATCATGTATAACAAAAAGTATACAAAGGTCGGGACTCAGGATCTAATAAAGGAATGCTGAAATGGAAAAAGAAAAAAAATGTAAAGCTGATGATCGCATCAATAAAATACTACCAACAATTTTTTACACAATGCACTGATAATTCCTCATCATCCAATTTAAATCTCTTTCTTTTGTCCGTTTCGATAAAACTCTATCACTTTAATGAATGCCTTAATCTAACTACACAGATACAAACTTCATTTTTGTTTTCACTTTGTTTTTTCGTAAGGCAAAGACAGTTCATCCTTCCTAGAAAATTTTGTGTTACAAAAAAGAAACAATCCAATTCAAGGCAACGATTGACATACATTGGCCAAAAATTCCACAGAAAAGATATATGATTTACCGCCAATATATTAGTACAGAATCAATATACAAAAAATGTAAGGAAATTACCAGCGACCATCAAATTAAAACAACAAATTTGAAAAGTAATGAAGGGAAACACATACCAATATCTGATTTATGCGAGATAGAAGATATCATCCGTCATAAGGAGAATGTATTGCAAAATCCTCAAAGGGGCATTACTAAAATCCAATGGGGGCAACCTCAACTCCCGAACCCTACACTCCCCTGCAGTACAAGCCCTAACCCTGTTTGTATCGACCTTCCGAAACAGATACACCGATTTGCCACCGCAAACTCGCCTATGGCCCGAATCCGCTGATGGGTTTTCTTTAGTCTTGAAAAGGGTCCACCCCAGTCCGGCCAAAGCCCGAGAAAACCCTTCCATTGTGTCAATTCGGTCTCCTGTGAGCCGCGAAACCAGCGACATTGATGAGCAATTCCAATTGCTTTCACTAGTTGCCTCAGTGGCTTTACAATTGGAGCGCACAAATACCAGCTTGAACAGGCCTTTGGAGAGCTTGACAAAGGCGCGAAGATGGGAAATGGAGGCTGTGGAGAGAGAAGGGAAAGGGAGGGGAACAGTGTCGTCGGGCAAAGATGTTGATGAGAGTGATGACGATGACCATGAATATGTTGAGGGTGATGTTGAAGATGGAGATGATGACGATGACGATGGCGGTGGTGGATATGAGAGAATGATGTGGGAGAGAGATGGGGTTGGGTGCAAATCCATGCCCATGTCTCTGGCTATGGTGGCCAGTCTGTATGTGTCTGCGACAAGCTCTTTGGTTGGGAGGAAGAGGAGAAATGGGGTTCTCGATTTGCTGGTTTTGCTTCTTCCTTCTGTCGGTTTGTGATGGCCATCTTTGGCATTAGAGTCAGCATCGTAGCCATCGTCGTTGTTGTGGTGGGGATCTTCGTCATGTTGATTTTGGGGGAGAAGGAGAGGGTTGTTGTTGATGGTTTCTCCAAAGACTAGAGAGCGTACCAGCTTTAGCGGGAGCATCTTTCTTCACCTTTTCTCTCACTCTCTTTCCATCTAATTATTAAGCCCTCTTTCTTATCTTCGACAAACTGTCTTTGTTTTCTTTGCTTTGAGGAGGAAAACAGTACATTTGGTTTTCCTAATTTTTTTTCACAATTTCAACAAGTTTTGGTTACCACAGGGCAAGAATAATTAGCTCCGGCCGTAACATAGGGAAGGATGATTAGCTCAATCTCGGTATGTTATTGAGGGTCTTGTGTTGATTTTCATGATAAATACTTCGGGTTACCTATTGGGATTCCTTCTCTCTCTTTATTGAGAGTCGAGATTCATTATTGTGCACTTACAAACTCCTGTTACAATCCAGGACCCATTGATATCTTAAGTCAAGTCCCAAGTTGGGTTCGACTATACGACATAACCTAAGATCAACGACGTACTCCGAAGGCAACCATAGTGCTTCACGTCTGAGGACTAATTTTGCATAATTGCAACTTAGAAATCTTGTTTGACATATAAGTTGTTTGTGAGGTAAAATACCTCTAGGCCGAGCTAGGCTACACCATGGTGTTAGTGGTCGAGCTGTGCCAGACCACGGTGTTGGTGGTCGAGCTGGGCCAGACCACGGTGTTAGTGGTTGGGCTGGACTCGAGCTTAGTCGCCATATATTTTTCCACATTGACCCATGTGGGCTTGTGGGCGTATGGGCGCATTGGTCCATGAGCTTGAGCCCGGTGCACATGAGGCTGACATCAACTTGGTGTACGTGATGTTCACTCAAAGGACTTCTAGTCCTAAGGAAGTTGGGATGTTTCGGGATCACCAAGATGCCTATCTAAATGGAGTCCTAGTCCGAGGAGGGTTAGGTTGTTTTAGAGTCCTAGTTCGAGGAGAGCTGGTTCGCTCTGGAGTTCCACTCCAAGAAAGATTAGGGCGCTTGGGATAATATAAAAGGCTAAGGTCATCCTCCGTGAAAGGTACGCAATTCTAAGCACTAGAACCTATTGTGCAATCTTACTCTCAAACACTCGACTGACTTAAGCATCGGAGGGTCCTTGGCCGGCACCACACCGGTGTCACCCACTGAAGCTATCTTGTTTTGCAGGTTCTGGAGGACGACTTGGTTGGTCACGCTGACCTAGTCCGGAAGAATTGCCCGACCTCGATCTCAAAGAGGTCATCTTCTGTTGAACCAATTTTAGGCATCAACATAAGTAAAACTTCCATACAAGATTCTTGATTGATCGTGTTCAATGAACTCGCTCTCTAGCAAACACTCTGTTGAGGCCCAAAAAAGTCACGAGAAGCCCAAAGACATTTAAGGCCCGATATAAAATATAATGTTGGTCATGCATTAATCCAAGCTATATTTTGGGAATTAATTCATTAAATAAATAATAGTGTCCATGCCATGCAAAGCCAATAATACATTTTTCATATGTCAATCACCTATCAAGCTTACATGAACCCAAGTCAAGTGGTTACGGGGCTTGCATGAGGGATTGTGGTGTGGAAGGTTACGGAGGTCCACAAGGCCCACGGAAGCTCTTGGATAATGGAGACTTTGGGCTAGCTACTTGGGAGCACCAAAGTCCAAGCCCATTACTTAGAGTTCTCCAATGTGGGTAAGCAAATGAGATATTTTCCCAGCATTTCCTTTTATCCATAGGAAATAGTCATTTTCCAAATGCCTAGCTTTACCCGTTGGAAATAAGCCTTTTCCAGCACTCCCTATTACCCATTGGTAACAAGCCAATTCTGACACTTCCCTTTACCCGTTGGAAATAGTCATTTTCCAATGCTTAGCATTACTCATTGGAAATAAGAATATCCCAATGCTCCCTTTTACCCATAGG